CCAAAAACTATAATTTGCTTCAGAGTGCAGCTCAGACAGTAAGCTGTAAGCAGATTTTGAAGTTGACTCCGAGTCGACTCGACTCCATAGAAAATTTCATCGACTTCGAGCTCTGGCTGTAAGTTTCAAGACCCTTAAAAATTAAAAATATATTCAATAAATTCCTATAAGCAAGTCTCAAGAAAATTTATCATAAAGTGCTTTATATACCATGCATACACTTCATAAAGGTATCCATGCATTTATGTAATAATATATTGTTTTACTTCCTTTCCCTTTTCATCCTCCCTTCGTCAACTCAAAATAAAGATGAATAAACAAGCAAATATTTCAAATTCAAATTTATATGAATAAATTATTATGTTTATTAAACTTTCTGTCCACTCCGATACTTCCGATGTAACAAAAAATGAAAGAGCATTCTTTATAAAAAAAAATGTTCCTTTTCTTCTACATCAATAATTTTATTTCTTATTCCTTATTGATATTTATGAGAATTCGGTCTAAAAAAAAGGAAGCAAAAAAGTTCCTTAAGATTTTTTTTTTTGCTGTGACATTTTCAAGTTTAACGAAAAAAGGCAAAAAATGATAAAAAGATTTCAAGATGAGAAAAAGCATTTGAGTCCAACTCAAACTGTACCCTTGTGTGTAGTTGATCTGAATATGGATAATTAGAATTTTTATGGAGAGTTTCAGGTGTGCTTTAATGTTAATAGAAACCAAGATTTTATTCGGGTACAGAAAATGTAGACTTTTCATAAATATTAATAAACATGCGTTCATAACAAGATCCATTAAGAATCAAAGCCATTCACGAAACAGATTGATGTCCATTAGTTCCTCCAAATGTAATCCAGCAAATCAAATCAGACTCGACCTACCTCACAGGATTAAAAATTCAGTACACAAAATGAGATTTTTTTTTCCACGAGAAACATTAAGTAAAAGTCAAACTTGACATTCAATCGCATCAACCCTTATAAGTACTTTAAAAAGTCATTGCCATGACACTCTCAACTGTCCCATGTTCATCCATGCACTTAACATTGATCACTCATTCGACTTTTTTTTTTATTCAAAATGTTGCTCTACATTTTCAATATATGGGATAGTAAGTGAAGTAAAATGTTGAGTTGTGGATATCTCCGATGAATTTAGACGACGAATGCTGAGTGAATGGAAAAAGTAGTAAAAAAAATATTCATTCGGTCTGGCTAATATTGATTGAGTTTGGATGTCGTAAGAATTCACTCATTTTAATATATTCCTGAACTATGCACGCATTTACTATTTAACTGTGACTTGAAACTTACATCAATGACAACAGTAGCAAAGATGAATGCTTTAAAAAGCAAGTCGTGTAAATGCAATGAATATGTAATGTGCAATACCATCCATCTAAGACTCGTTTTGTGCTTGAAGATGGCACATAAAAATTGAAAGGGAATAAATGATCGCTTTAGTATCGTCCATAGAATGAGATGAATGTATACTTACTTATTTGCCGTAATGAATATTGAATGCAAATGGGGATATACATAGAATTGAGTGCTGCAGTTGTGAGCAAGGGCAGATAATCCATATTATGCAAATTTCTGAGGATTTCTATGGGATGTCTTTGACACAGATGAATAAATAGGTTAATTCTATGTGACTTTTAGTCTAGATGTCGATGCAATGGCAGGTAGAATGGATATTCTGACATTTATTTAACAAATCAAAGTTGAGACGTACTTTGCTGATTTTTTTCCATACTTAAAGTCGTGTTAAGTTATGTCGACTTTGTATTAGATTTTCATTTTAATAATGTTATTAAAATAAATAGATTTTAAATGCTTCATAATTTAAGCTTTAAGATGAAAGCTTGTAGGATGATATTGATGAAATTACCTTTACTACTTTTATTCTTGTTCAATATATCCATTTATTAACACCTAGTTTTTATAGCGACTATAATAGTAAACCTAATTTACTATAAACAACATTAAGTAATACAATGTAAATCTAATACATTTCAGATATTTAGGGACAATTCGATATTACGTAACATTTAATGGGTGAATTATGGCATTCAGTGAAAATTTGATTTTTAGACCCCTTTCCCCTCCCTTCTTTTAATTGTCACAATATAGTTCAAGACAAGAGAATTTTAATTTAAATTGTGGTGTCACAAATTCTCAAAACCCCTCGTCCCTTAAATGATAGACAATCTTAAATAGTAACAATTTAAATCCGTTGACATTTCAGAAAATCAAGCTACATTGATACTAAAATACAATCAAACAACCAATCAAGAATCCCTTTTCTTTAGGATTTACCCGAAACAAGTGCTTTCAGAACAGAAAAATAAGAAATAATGCAATTTAGAGCTTCAAGAAAGCTACTGAATGAAATGAAATAAAACTTCCCAGCCTTTATCCCTTCGGGACGTTGAGATCTCAGCATAATCAAAATAAACTGCTTCTTTATCTTCGTCGACTTGATATTGTACCATGAAATATTACCGATACGCGTTGAGATGTCATTGCTACAAGACATCAATTTCGATCCAAATAGTGAGAAGAGGAAGAGATTGACAAAAAGAAGAAGACAGAACCTACCAGTCATTATCAGGAGTGTGATGTTGTGGAAAATCTAATGATAGAAAATTTATTGAATTATCAATAGCTAGTCGAATAGGCAAGAACAATCAAAAAGGATCTACTTACAGTTGAAAATAGAAAACTGAGTGAGCAGATAGTGCATGTCATTGCCATACAATAGATTAAAAGGTAGTCACTTATGGCCAATTGAACAAGTTTTGCTGAACTAAGAATGAAGCTTAAAATTTAAATTCTAAATGTTTATCAGAAAACTCACTCTAGTGCATCCGTATGATCTTGAACAAATGACTTAATCTCCTTCTGGATCGCATATTCATTAATATTTCTTTTCTTCAAAGTTTCATCAATTTTATCAATTTTTTCATTCAAAAATATGAAGTAAGATGCAGAATAATTTACAAGTTTTAAGAAAAATGAGTGGATTGTGACGAAAAGAGTTACTAAAATCATATGAATCGGGATGATTAGCAGTTTGTAGATTGGAAAGTATGGCGTGTGGTCCCAATTGAATCCAAAGCTATATGAAATGATTAAAATACTGATTAGTTTAGGGCAAGAGGAGACCCGAATAGCACAAGTCGGTTCATCGAATATAAATCTGGCGCTAAGCCGCATAAAGCTGGCATCATGCTAACTTCGATTTAAATCCAGCACCATGCCAAAGTCATACCGGCTTGTTGCTGGATTTCTGATTGATTAACCAACTTGTGCCATTCGGGAGAACAATATGATGAGTATCTTACTTGACTTTTAAAATTGTACCCCTTTCGATGCTTGGATCCATTAAATCTAAATCATGAAACATAAACCTCACAAAAAATCGTATATTTGGTGAATAATGAAATGCAAGTGACATTAAATGAATGAAACATATAGCACATGTTGTGCATATATTCCCAATTTTCACTAATCTTCTTCGATATTCGTTCCATTTTGGATATTCATCAGATGAATGTTTATACCAATCTAATTTGATTTTGTGTATCAAATACTTGAATTTCTCTTGTTGAATGAAGACACTTAATGCTGATAAAGTAATGATGATGGCTGTCAATAGCTTTGGTCCAACTGATATGATTTTTAAATAATTTTCGCATCTTATTGCTTCAATCATGTTATTAATTTGAGGAATTATAAGGAAAACAAGTTGAAATAATAGGAAGATCCATAATTTCCAAATTTCCATTTTATCACCAGGCCAAAAGCCAATAAATCCCAGAAACTTCTCTTCAAATAAAAACAATTCATCTGAATCTACAATTTCTCTAATTCCCTTCATTTTTAATCTATCACTGATTCTTTTGACTGATATGTTTAAACTGAAAAACTCATTGAAACATTTTTTTAATGGAAAACTCAAATTAAACTAAAAGCTTTTAAAAACTTTTTTGTTGTGCTCTATTTTCACACCACTAGACACTTTTAAGTAATTAAATTTTAATGCAATTTTTTAAATGTGAAGCTAATGGTCTTCCATTTTGGAGAGTTTAGTGGGATTTTGTTGATTTTTCTAAAGCTTTATAAAATAGACACGGATGCACAAATGAGAAAAATTGACAGCAATCCCAACCAAAACTCAATAATATCTCTCATCACTTTATGATTTACCCGAAACAAGTGCTTTCAGAACAGAAAAATAAGAAATAATGCAATTTATCGCCTCAAGAAAGCTATCAAACGTAATGAAATAAAATTTCCCAGCCTTTATCCCTTCGGGACGTTGAGATCTCAGCATAATCGAAATAAACTGCTTCTTTATCTTCGTTGACTTGATATTGTACCATGAAATATTACCGATACGCGTTGAGATGTCACTGCTACAAGACATCAATTTCGATCCAAATAGTGAGAAGAGGAAGAGATTGAATAGCAAAGCGAAAATCAATCTTCCAGTCATCAAAAGAAAAGCTATATTGTTGACAACCTGATGAAGATAGAAGAATATAAATTGAGTACAAGAAGTTTTAAGTTAAATTGACAGATAATAATGAATATCTATAAATCAGCACTTACGTATGAAAAAATGAAGCTGAGTGTACAGACAGTGCAGGTTATTGCCATGCAATATACTAGGAGGTAGTCGTTGATTACTTGTTGTACAAGCTTTGTTGTTCTGTGAATTAGAGATTGGTTTGGTTTTACTTTCATGAATTGGCTGTCTTTGGGGTTTTGCTGATTTTTGGTCAAAAAGCGGGACATGTTCCAATTTCAGCTCTGAAAAAGCGGAAAGGTCCAAATTTTCAAGCATTTTCCAATCAAATAGTTTCAAAAAGCGGGACAATAAGGCATTTAGGTGGGACTTTGGAAGTTGGACAGCCTAGTCATAAACCTCAGGATAACTCCTTTCGACCCTGGATCTTAATCAGAGCCTCAACAAATAATAATATAAAATCATCCTTACTCTAATGCATCAACATGATCCTCAACAAATTGTTTAATCTCATTCTGTATAACATCATCAGAACTTCTACTCTTCAAAAGCTCATCAATTTTGTCAATCCTTTCATTCAAGAGCTTAAAGAATGAGGCAGCATAATTTACTAGCTTCAAGTAAAATGATTGGATCGCAATGATATTCGTAATAATCAAGGCATGAGGAATGATGATTGCTAGCTTGTAATAAAATAGGAATGGTGTGTATTCCCAGTTGAATCCAAAGCTGTAAGAATTTAGATAAAAATTATGAAGACTTAAGTTTAAAATTTTTCTTACTCGACTTTCAACAAAGTTTCACGATTAATGCTAGGATCCATAACATCTAAATCACTTAAAAGATAACGTAGGAAAATAATTAAATTAAAAATGTAATAGAATGAAGACGCTGTAAGTAGAATAATGCATAAAGTATAGAATGTGCATTTGTTTCCAATTTTTACAATCTTATTTCGTTGCTGATTCCATTTTGGAAATTCGTCAGAAGAGTGGATCAACCACTTGGACTTGATATTTGCTACCAATTTATTAAACTTCTCACGTTTGATGACAACATTCAGTGGTGCCAAGATGATCATGAATGCAACTAAATTAATTGATGCAACAGCAACAAGATTTAAATAGTTATTTGAGTTTATAGATTTGATAGTGTAGACAATTTGTGGAATTAAGATAAAAGTGATGTGCAAGATTAAAAATGTCCAAATTTTCCAGTAAACTATTTTGTTGCATGGCCAGTAACCGAATTTTTGAAGGATCTTCTCTTCCAAAAAGAATAAATTACTGGAATTTAAAATTTTGCTGATTTTTGATTTAAATTCTGAAATTTTCTTCATCTTTTGATTTTAGGCTGATTTAAAGAGGAATGAAAAGTTGAAACTGATGGATTAAATGCTCAAGTGGAAGCTTTTAATATACTTGAACAAGCTGGATACTTGAAATTTAAATGGATTAAAAAATTAAAATATGAAGATAGATTCAGATTTGACTATTTTTCAAGGGGGGAAACAACATGATGGGAAATAATAAAATTTTGTTCAAGAATTTTAAAGAAATTTGGCCATTGTGGTTTAAAATTTGTAAGAATTTCTCTTCAAATTTTTCCCCATCATGTTGTTCTCCCCTTGCTTTTATTAGCTTTGTAAAAAAGTAATTAACATTTTAATGAACATCAAACTTTTGAACTTATGCGAATGAATGAGAACCAAAATATGTTCAGCATTCAAAATAAATCCATTAAATCCATTAAAATTCACTTAATGTCCTCCACACCAAAACAGGCAAACTACGCATAAAACAGAATTTGTTGCACTTGAACTTCGAAAATTCAATTTCTCCGTATTTTGCATTTTAACATGCTTTTTCAAAGCCTCTGCATTCACCAATATGGAATTTACCGTAATATTAATCGCATAACTGAATGTTCACGTATAAGAAGCAATAAAATTTAATATTATGTCCAGCACGCGTCATAAGTTGACGTGAAATAATTTCATTGTGTGTCAAATCAATTTATGAGTCAAGTAAATATTAAATTAAATCATTATTAATTGTAATTTTGATCAAGGGGTGGATATGCTGGGGATTATATTGAGAAACTATCATTTTTGTGGCTAAAAATTGTGGAATTTGGATTTTTCAAAGTCTTGTGATAGTTAACAATTTGATAAATGGACTGAGGTGTAAGAAAGGTCATTGGAACTGAGGATAGGGACCACAACTTCTTTGCTACGTCATTGATGATAGAAAAGAGTAGACTAAAGTAATAGTGTCAATTAGTAGAGCTCTAATATTGGTTTTTAGAGCTTGGAGTGCATTTAATAATTTGGCAATTGTATTAACTAAACTCTACCATTTTTCTAGCCACAAACAGTGCCAAAGCTGTCAAAAAGGTTGTGTGGTATCAGTCAATGCAGAAAAGTTCAAAAATGTTCTTGTAAGTCTCATTCCTCATTTATGAAGGTGTCCCAATTGAAATAAAATTAAAGTCAACCATTCAACACTCAACAAATGTCCATCCATTGCATTTATATGTCATATACCGTATAACACGAGTCTATTAACTCACAGTGAATAAATTAGCTTGAAATGTATATTAACATTGAAATATTTACGTAATAATGTTGTTATATTGAAAATTAATAGCTAATAAATAGCTAAGAAAATACATTTTGATGTCATAGAGGATAAATATATTGTACATGTATGGCTTGACTTTACGCAAATTAAATAAATTTGTTTATTGATAAAGCTTCGTTCACTTATGACGTACGAAATTAACAATCATGTTTCAAAGAAGAACAATGGAATTCCTAGAATTTCTATTCTTCTTTTCTTGCTACCCCCCCCCCCCCCCCCCCTTGAAGTCATAAGTGAACGACCCATGATTAAAAGAATTTGCAGACTAAACATTAATGGTCTATAATTATTATCGACTGCAAGATCGTGTGAAAGATTAGAAGAAAAATCACGTTTTTCGCGTAAAAAAATTTCAAGCTTTAAACATCGAATAAAAATCGTTCGCCTGTAAAACATGCATTAAAAATATTTTTATTCAGCTATAAAATTTGATGCATGAGAAGATTTGAATAAAAATACAAAGCTGTAAACAAATTGGGTTGCGAAACTGGAGAGAATATTTTGTGTTTTAATGCTTTTGATGGATGTGCAGAGCTGATGAAAGAACTGCAAAATTACTTTGTATTTCAAGAGTTCTGAGATGGATCCTAGAATAAGGTTGAACTAGACATATGTCAAATCCATTAATAAAAATGTTCATGACTTATCCAAGACCACAAACTCCTCAAAAGAAACTAAATCAATATTTGAAAAAATGAAAAATTTCATTAACATAAATTTTCCAACAAAAAAAAAATGAAAGCCTGCACAGCAAAATCTCGCACGTCTTCCTCATTCACGTCAATTGATGTCTGTTTACGCTCAAATTTCATAATTTCAAGCAAATATTTTTTCATCATCTACGAAACAATATTTGCTGTCGAATTTGGTAATGAATCAAATTTTCTCATTTCTTCCTTAATAATCCTCTCCACATGAGGTTGCATGTCGGAGGCAGCAACAGCGTTAAAGCTTTAAAAAACAGGTTTTGTGTATAATTTTAATAATCCTCTCATTTTCGATAAAAATAAATGAAATTGCACATGCTGATTATTATGGAATTTTGTCATTCTCACTGCTGTGCTTAATGAAGTCGTGACAAATGTAAATTACAGTAAAAACTGTTTTGTTGGATATGGTATTAAGGAGCTTAATGAAGCAATTTATGTATATTTACATTTTTTTTCTCTTAGTTTATTTATTTCAATAAACATTTGAGAATGGCAAGAGATTGCAATTGACATTTTTTTTTGTTACTCTTTTATGAAGATACTATCGTTAAAAAGAAAGAAGACATTGAATGTTATGAAATTTACTGAAATCGATATTGGATTATTTCAGATGATGACGATGCGCATTTAATATTGAACTGCAACGAATTGTTTTTATTGATAAAGTGTCGTTATAATAGATTATGATAGTTGGATTATGATAGTTCTGGTTAATCATCAGCAACAGTTTGAATCAGGAAGGTGTTTAGCAAACCTAAGGTTTCTAAGGCCTTAAGGGTCTGCAAAGTAGTCTGTATTATAAACACAAAAATCCCTCACTGAATCTAGTACAGAAGCTGTGTGAATCTATGTTGGAAGTCTAGTGAAGCTTTTTAAGGCTTCATCTTGATCATTTATTCAAAAAGGCAGGCGCATAAGCAGGGGGGGATTTGGGGGACAAATCCCCCGACGTTAACAGAAATTTCTTTATTTTGCTAGGAGTTTTATGAAAAAATCATAAAAATCCCCCATTCTCTCTTAATTTTCCATATAAATTTTTTTTGCCCCCCCCCCCCTCTCTTCAAATTCCTGGCTACGCCCCTGCAAATATTATATCACGGATACTAAGTTACTAGTATATTTCACTACGCTTAGCTATACTATATGAAAGCAACAGTCAAATACATTTATATGGTTGCTGTTACCCTAAGACATGATCTAGGGTGTAACATTAAAGCTTTTTTGACTGAATCTTAAGAAAACTTCAAAGATATAACAAGACTGAAGTGAAGTTTAGCTTAAGGGTACAGCCAAGAACTTAACGACTAAACAATCCCCCTTTACAACTTCAAAGCTATTCCAAAAAGACAAACTGCATTCATCTCTCAATCCTTACAAAACAATAAGCTATTAATCGGATTAAAGCCATAACTTGGATGCAATTGAATTGCATAAAACTGAGCAGAGAGAATAAAAATTGTATGAAATGTATGTCCGACATATGTGGGCATTCCCAAATGGTAATAACACATCATATAAACATTTGTTGTTAACTAACGATTGCATGTCGTCTTCATGTCATTTCACAAGCACGAGACACGTCCATTTGAAAAAATATATATATTTATAATAATAATGTCAATGTTCATGTATACATTTTGAAATTACAAATTTTATTTGCAAGTCACTTGACAATTATAATGGCTTGTGAATGTAGCTGAATTATTGCCAGAAATCAAATAAAGTAGAATATTTTTAAATTAACACAAAATAATCCTTGAGCTGCATTTTTATATTCAAACTCGTTAAATTTTACTATGAGCTGCTACATTTCGTGATATAAATGCAACAAACTTGCACCTTAGATTCAGGTTTTTTTTAAATTGCAAAACTATTAAAATAGAAGTAATGTGAATTCGGGATGAAAACCATAAAAAATCCTTTTTTATATCAAAGAACTTCAGATGATATGGTTGAGTAACAAAAATTGTGGAAAAAGATTTCTTTCATGCGGTTTATGAGGTATAAAGTAACATTCTGTGTGCTCACTTAACTTGAATTACATTTCCTTTAAAGAAACGGAAAAGAGGTAAAAGTTTTACAGTGGAATGGAATTTTGTTTAACGGGGTATGCAGGCTGCTGCTCAAAATTTTGATTATTTGATGTAGGGGTAAAGGCAATGGCAGATTTTTAGGGCTAATATGGTCACCTTACTTTAGAACTTGTTGTTAAACTTGGAGAGATACATAAAATTTAAGGAAAGTTTAATTCTCCTGCTTATTTGAACAGTTCCTGCCTCAACTCTGTCTTGTCATACTCAAGCATTAATTTATGAAAAGAATTTCTTTCTCAAGCAAGAAAAACACATAAAAATCTTAAATTATCCTTTCTACTTCTTTGTCTTTAAATATCAAAGGAATAAACATGATATGAAATGGATTTCTCTTCAAACTGTAATCCATATAATCAAGTCTCATGTGAACCAAATGGAGAAAAACTTATATTTCTCTTACAACATAAATTCATACATGCTATGCTTGTGCATGTCTGATTTTGTAGGGATTTCTTGTTTCCTGCAAAAAAAATGTATTTATTTCCTCATGTGAATTTGGGATTGTTAAGATATTGTTAGGTTTTGGATTCTTTTTGGGGTCTTTTTTACAAGAAGTCTATTTAACTATTGAATTCTTGAATTCTCGGTCATTTTTTCACAAAATGTTCATGCAAAAAAAATTAAGTGCTCTTTCTAAATCCTTAAATCGTCGAATAGCTTGCGCTGTGATTTTCTCTGCAAAATCAAATTCTCAATTAAAATGGAAACAATTCAAACTCCTAAATAATTGATCCATGGAAATAAATTTAATTATTTCAAGGAATTTTACTAGCTACACAAGCTAATGCCAACAAACGCAATAAACAATTTCCAAGTTATTCATGTCCTTGTAGAATATTTTGGCTCACAACTGCCTCGATGGCATCCAAAGAATTCTTCTCATTCCAATATTCAACCCTTGACACAGCTATTAAAGTGACACAAGCAAACACAATAGAATTTTCTAGCTTAAAAATTAACAGCAATTTTATAAAGAAATTAATTTTAATTTAATCCTCTTCTATTCTCGCAGTTTACAAGCGTCTTTATGGGTACAGTCATTTGCCATCCATCAACTGATTTAGCAGCGCAATGCTCAGCATGCTTACCAAATACGTTCAGCAAAAGAGGTGAGTCACGTGCGTGCACGTTCCTTTTGATTTTAAATTGCCATCGTGTGCTGGATGGTCAACATCGTTGGAGAGTCTTTGAGAGAAATTTTTGAAATAATATGATGGCGTGTAGTCATACGTGATCTTACATGATCTTAACTGTAATAGAACTAGAATGGCTATAATAGGGACTTTACAGGATAAACTAGTATTCGATTTAAAGACTAACCGTAATTGGGGTTGTTACCTGAAATAAAATGCAGTCTACACTCAAGCACATATAAATCAACTGGTCCATAAAATCACTAACCTCAAATTTCTCTCAAAAACCTTCAAATTTTATCTCAGCAATCATTTTTCATAATCCAAAAAAAATTCATTTAGTTTAAAAAAAATTTCACATTTTCACTCATTCAGGAAAAAAGTTGTGGACATTCCCAATTACAACAAGCGTGTCAAATGATAGTGTTTACAGGCTAGCTGTAAGTTTTTTCAAAAAAATTCTTTAATCTTTGTTGTCGATGTTGTGTAAAGGTGAATATATTGTGTAGCTTGTTGAGCTGATGCAGGTCAATGCTTTTTTAATTCCGAGGACTAAGCAGCACATCTTATTAATCTGCTCATCTTGTGTCTCTCGGTTTTTGTACCTGCTCAATGGCTGTATTACTCTACATATCTATATCTCTTTTCATCTATGTAATTGTCTTCTTTCTGTCTTTCTATTCTCATTAAGATGAAGCTATCTGATCTCTAAGCTTTTTTCATATTTTTTATTCTCTATTCTCTGTCACAATTGTCCTAGATTTTCATATTTTCATTCTTTCTTGTCTTTCATTTTATGTTCTAATTCTAAGAATAAATATTTTTTAATTATCCCACGTGCCTTGTTATGTTGTTTACATCCTCTTCATCGTAGTCATCATCATTAAGCGACAGATTCATGTTTGTAGCTTAATATGCATTTTAGTAAGGTATTGTAGTGTAACATAGGGAATTAAAGGATTATTTTGTCTGGTGTCAAGTTATAAAATTCAAATTAGTTTAACTTAGTGTTCTAGCAATGAAATAGGTGCTCAGTGATGCTATATAGCCCTCACTGAAAACTTACTAAACTCTATACGATACCAAATAGCTTGATTTGTCAGTTAGGGATTTGACAGCGCTACAAAGCATCTTGATTCATAGATGCTTCCCATAAAACCCATCAAGAACATACCATTTTTAAAAAAAATCATATCTTCATGCAATATGAATCGTTTACGTATGCAAAAAAATAATGCATATTCATCTTGTTTAAAATCATATGGCATTATTGTTTCAAAAGCGTATGTCCTGTATTTACATTTTTTCCATCGTCATTTTCGTAATTGCAGTTGATGCTAGCAAATCCTGAGCTTTGTAATTAGAGTATAGTGATTTTTTTTTCATGGTATTGGTTGGGCTGCTTGGGAATAGCTTGACAATGTGATGACGAATGTGACAAATAATCAGCATAATCGCATTATGTTATGGAATTTTAGATTCATATCAGGATACTCGGTTCAGCTAAACATAGTTTGCATGAGTTAAGCAAAGTAAGGGCATCTTAAGTAGCTCTAGAAACTGACACTTGTAGTTTGCCATGGTGAAATCCACCACTGAATATCATTGACTAAGCACAACCAAACAGCTTCCATTTCACAATCCATATACAGCTCGGACGTCCCCAATTGTCGACTATGCTAATTTCTCATTTTCATAATGATGATGACAACGATGAGAGGCTTCATTGTATCACTAAACATTTCCATTTTAAAGAATAACATTACATTACACACTAATTGTTTTATGTTACATGATAATTAATGTCAGATGATAATTGCTTGCATTATTACTCTTTTTAAAAAAGTTCCTTATTTATCTTTTCTTCTTTTTCCTTCACAATTGTTTTTAGGATACTCTAAAGGGTTCACAGCCAGAGCAGCAAGAGCAAGTTAATCTTCTTCAGATAGAGCACGAAGGTGAGTGTTGATGAATGTTGATAGATAATGAAAAGGGTTGTGAAATTGGAAGGGAGGGTTCTCGATGAAAATCGCTCAAAGGTGACGATGAGGAGATTGAAAGGGGCATCGAGATAGCCCTAAAACAATCAATTATTAAGGTAGTCGGGGAGGATAAAATTCAATCGAATTTTAAAAGGTCATGAGAGTTTGCTGGGTTCTTTGTGAGGATGACAAAGTTTTAGTGGTAATGAAAATTATTGTTTTTATTGGTTTGTAATAGTTTTGTGACTTCTGTGGAGGAACTAGGGCAGGTAACAAGACATTGCCACAATGGGGATATAAGATTCCGTTACAATGAGATTAGGCTCTTACCACAAATTATGATTGAATGCTATTCAGTTCCAGACTCATAAAACAATCAACTTATTGAATGTCATTCATACCAAAATTGTAATGAGGTTCACCTTACTCTAATTATAAGTCAAAATCCACGGAATTAAATTATAATTTTAAATTTCCTACTTCCGTTGATTTCAACTCTTCAAAAGAATCTCTCAGAAAAATACAAAGCGTCAGTAACAATTCCTAATTCAAAGCAGAACAATCCACTTCTCATACCTCAGTTCCATTACATCATAAAATTACGTATTCTCACACAAATAGCCGGCAGCATGTCACAATAACAGTTTCATAACATGACAAAGTGGATATCATATACAAAGCATTTGATTACGTTGACAAATTTACAAGCATCAGTGACACTGCTGACTCTAAAACGTGCTCAACTTGTTACTTACAGTTAGTCACGGACTCTTTTGATTTCAATTTTCCTTCTCGCTGTCTTTCAAGTATTCAAAAATCGTGAAAATGATAAGCACAAGATGATGAGGAAGAAGTCTTTAGAAGTTTATTTTTTTCGCTCTTTCATCTCATTCCTTTACCGCTCATCAGCTTCTTTTCCGTTTCCTCCTGATGAGAATTATGATTAAAAGTTTTTCATGTTTGTGGAATTGCTTCTTTGTACTTCCTCATTAATTTTTCTATTATCTCAAGTTGCTAAGTATACAAAATAAAGCTTTAAAGCTAAGATTTTGGATTCTTCATCTTGTCATTCTTTCTTGTATTACAACAGAATATGATTTGATGCAACTATTAAGATGATTGCCTTTGAATAGGAACTGATGATTGTTGTCTGATGTCTGGAAGGAATTAATTTTAAGTCAAATCCAATCATATTGACACTTATGTTTGATCAAGCACGTCCTCATGATTTAATAGATTTTTCTTAATCTCTTAGATAACAACGAGCAAACAAACTTGTAAGGATGATGGAAATTGACCTGATTTAACATCTATTTTACTGAGAGCCTCAAGTATTCTGTTTAATAACTTACAAAGTCATGTCATATTTTTATGTTTTCAACAAGATTTCCTTCAATCATCTTGCTGCATTATTATTATTATGTACAGATAAATTTAGATTGTGTTAAATATTGGGAACGCATCCCAGAATTCCCAGAATCAATTGCTGATAATATATAATTTAAGGCATACCCAAAATTCATCTATGACAATTGTTGTTGTCTCCATCAGTCAAAGATACCAACCCCAATATCTAATTGACACACCACTAACACAACTTGTTTATTATATCACATGATAAACCTATTGCAACTCTAACACAAAGTACTCTGACTAAAATACGGAAACTCTTTTCAAACTTCTATTCTATTCTTTTTTTCCGTATGCTGTTCATGATAAATGTTGACAATTTGTGTGCTTTGTTGCCACAAAATCTATTTCATTCTTCCTTGTTTTTGTACTGTGTAGTCACAACAAGAGCTTTCAATAGACACGTTTGAATGAAAAATTGTGACAATAAAGTAGGGGTTCTAAAATCGGGAATATTCCCGAAATTCCCGTTTTCATACCAAAAAAAACCGACAATTCAAATTAGTTTTTTTTTTATCTTGTATTTTCCATGAAAAAAACTACAATTTAAAGAAAAAAATTATAATAATGAAAACATACGTTAAGGAATTTAAGAGTTGAAATATTAAACTCAAATTTGATGTTTTTTAAATCAAAAACATATATTTATGAAAAACGAAGAGATAAAGTATTTAAAAATATTTTTTAAATGTATGATGTCCATAAAATAATAAACTTAATTGACATTGGATTAAAGTAATTTTTCCAAAATAAAAAAAACGTGCTGGAAATTAATATTTCTGGAATCCACCAACATCTACAAGAGCTGAACGTAATTTTTCAATCTCCAATAATATTGTCTCAAAAAATCGCACTAGATTGCTAGACCAGTTAAAATCGTACTTTAAGAATTGTTCTAAAACCAAAAAGAATTGAATTTCAAACGGAAATTATTGTCAAAAGAATCAATTTGACAATCAAATCAAATAGAATTTAAATTTGATTTAAAAACCTAAATAAAAAGCTTTTAAAATTTTGAATTAGTACTATATATTTTTGATAATTTTCGAGCTGAATACACCCTTAATTAACGCAAAAATGTGAAATCACAATCAGTCAAAAAAGATCAAATTTCTCAGCAACCTTTGACTTTCAATTTTCTCACAATTTTCTTCAGTTTAATTCTTTAAAGACGTGTTTTTAAATATTGTTCCAAATCGGTGCAAATAAATTGGAACTTGACATTATTAATGCTTAAAAAGAAGTGGAGTTCAAGATAAAAGTGATAGTGAAGTGCTAAAATGGAAGCAACAGTGAAAATAAGCCAAAAGTGATGAATAAATTAAAAGTGAAGAAAAAAATGAAAAATTTTCTGAGTGAACATTGAAAGTTAAGAAAATTAAATTCAAGAAGCTGTAAAATTGAAGTGAAAATGAGATTGATGAAGCTTGAAGGAACCAGGACACAATTAAAGAAGCAAGAGGCTAGTGACAACGAAGAAAAAGCTAAGTATACTAATAAATAGTCCTCAAATTCCTTTTCTTTAATGAAACTAGCCATTTGACTTTCTACATTTGCGTACGTAATGCTTGCAATACGTGAAATGATTACTTAAAAACGCATTGCATTGAGTTTTACATTTCGTCAGCCTTTGTTGATGTAAATTAAGAGTGGGAGTCGTTGAATAGGTCAGAGGGGGGTCGATGCAAGATGAGGAGGGGTAAAACTTGAGGGAGCAAAGTCTTTTGACCCTTTTTTTAAAAAGTTTTTGTGTTCTTTTTTTTTTTTGTAAAGCGAGCCTATGAGTCATGTGTTTCTGCCTGTGAGACTTACTATCGTGGCTATTGATTGGTTCATCCTTGATGTAGAGTGGCATCAAGGACATTGATTGCTTGCTCGTAAATGATACTTGCAATTTTTTGTCTAGATGCCTGTTCTCACACACAGCATTAGACTTACATCAGGTCCAATGACGTATCGTGTAGTTTAATGTGAAAAATGAGCCTCTGATGATTTGGGTTGTAATCAATAGAAGCTTAATTACAAGCGTCTAACCCTAACCCTAAATTGTGGTTCTTTTTCATGCTCAGGTGTGTGGTAAAGAACGTTTTTGCCTCTATCTCGGACTGTTCTGATTCAAAGCCTGAAATGTGAGCAGTAATGGAATGAAAACACGATTGATTCATTTCCTTGGTTGAAATTAAACTTGATATGATTAACTATGAAAGAAGAACCATCAAAAAATTTGCTTTCTCAGTTTAATCCCTCCTTCATCTTGCATCAGCTTCTCTCTTACCTGTCCATCGACTTCCATCTTTAACTTACATCGAGAAAGAGCGAACGGAACATAGTACTTAATGTTATGTGATTTTACTTAATCATTTTACGTAACGTAGGCTTTACGTGAGCCTTTTTGAAAGTTTTTCTGACTAATTTCCAACAGAGAAAGTGAATTTGATATCATGAAACTTTAATTTAAAATTGCCATATATTTTAGGTTCTTTACGGATCAGCACTTATAGCCATCATAAAACATTTCATATGTTGTGTTATTTTCTTCACATTTGAACAATTACTCATCGTTCACACACAAGTAAGCACATAGTATGAATATTTGATACAAATTGGATTTATATAGAATTTTTTAACTGACAAACTACAGAAGAATTGTCTTGACGATTTCTTATTGTCTTGACGATGTCTTATTGTCCTGACGATGGTCAATCATAGGGGTTCTAAAATTGGGAATATTCCCGAAATTCCCGTTTTCATACCAAAAAAATACCGACAATTCAAATTAGTTTTTTTTTTATTTTGTATTTTCCATGAAAAAAACTACAATTTTAAGAAAAAAATTATAATAATGAAAACATACGTTAAGGGCAATTCTACGAGTGAAAAAAATTACAAAATTTCTTTATTCTATTAAAAAACTTTGAATATTGACTTTTTACTCATTTAAATTAATTAAAATTATGTAAAAAGGGAATGTTTATCATTATGAATAGTACTTGTTTGCAATAAATGGCTGTATGAGGAGATATGTTAACTTTTTTACTGTCAATCGGTGGAATTTACAACATGTACTTTAATTTGTTAAATATTTCACTAAACACTCATTTCTGATTTGTGTCTCTACCCAAAAAATGTTTGAATTCACAAATTTAACAAACCTTTGACTTAAAACATAGCAATAATGCTTTAATATAGCTAAAATTTGTCAAAAACTGTGTCAATCGGTGGAAATTTTACATATTTTCGACTAAGCTTGAAGCGCTTACAAAAATTTAAATTTTAAATTACCGTTGAAATTTTATTCTGTAATATTCTTTACATATGGAAAAACTTATTTTAATTAGTTTTTCATGCCTCTTTTTGCCTTAAAGTTTACACTTTAAGAACGAATAACGTAACAATAATGGAGAAATACACTTTATAAAAAGAAACACTATATTTTTATCCAAGAAATATAACGGATAAAAAAAAATTAAATTTTGCAAGTAGCGAAAACTTACAATGCAAATTTCTGCAGTTCCCTTTACTCGTAGAATTGCCCTTAAGGAATTTAAGAGTTGAAATATTAAACTCAAATTTGATGTTTTTTAAATCAAAAACATATATTTATGAAAAACGAAGAGAAAAAGTATTTAAAAATATTTTTTAAATGTATGATGTCCATAAAATAATAAACTTAATTGACATTGGATTAAAGTAATTTTTCCAAAATAAAAAAAACGTGCTGGAAATTAATATTTCTGGAATCCACCAACAAAAATCGCACTAGATTGCTAGACCAGTTAAAATCGTACTTTAAGAATTGTTCTAAAACCAAAAAGAATTGAATTTCAAACGGAAATTATTGTCAAAAGAATCAATTTGACAATCAAATCAAATAGAATTTAAATTTGATATAAAAACCTAAAGAAAATATATGGTAAGTGTAGTCTTTAACTTTTTTTTTGTTGATTCCCGGGAATATTCCCGTTCCGGGACATCATTCCAGTTCCCGTTCCCGATTCCCGAAATCTTACGGGAACGAGAATTCTGGAACTCCTACAATAAAGTTTAGATGAGGAATAAGCCACAAGCCTTAATTAAGGTGTAGAAAGTTTTCATTGGAATTTTGATTTTTTGCAAAAATGTTTGGGGGGCTTTGAAGGGGTTTTGAGGGAAAATTTTTAAATATCTGTCCAGTCGAGTCAGTCAAGAAAGCTAGCTGATTAATCCACACAATGATTTAAAAATTTATGTCCTTGACTGGAGCAGGGGGAGTTCTAAAAACCTGTCGCATGTGGCATAAATACAAAAATTCCACCAAAATCAATCAAACAAAGGAAGTCTTACAACATACTTATAGCTTAGAACTACTTATCCACTTAAAACGTCACAATTCTTTCTTCATTAAGTTTCCATGCACAAAGATATGATCAATAAATATAAATTACTTTGGTTTCCAATTAATTTTTATTACCATACCCACAATTTCATAACCCACATAGTATGTGACATGATAACAATTGACATAAATTGTCATGTTGAATTATAAATTTGATAACTTATCATAAAGCTGAATTGTTTGAAAAAAAATTATATGCGGTTTTTTATTGACAATTTATCGACATGCATGCTTGAAATTTGAATGAGTCATTGACAATCAAGTCGTACAGGCAACATTTTAAGCTACTCATTACATTTTGTAATTTAAATGCATGTGAAATTAAAAATTTGTTTTTGCTATTCTCATTAAATTTTCAATTTTCAACTCTACGTTCCTAAAAAAGTCTTTTCCAGACTTTATTACTTTTTAATTCGATTTCATGCTTCATCATTCAGACTGTAAATTATAAATCAAATACTTTCTATTTATGCCATGTCTCGTATAACATAACATACATCGAGTACTAAATCAATAAATTCACATCAACAATATTACATTAGCTACATACTTACTTTATGAATTACAAGTTTCCCGAAAATAGTAAAATTGAAGTTGATGGGATTTTTGGGGAATTGAAGCGCATTTTTTGGATTATTCTAACTTAAGGATGCTTTCAAACTTGATCAAAACTAGGATTAAGGACATTTGACTTTACTTGAATGGCTTGGGCCAGCTCTCGAGGGATTATGAAGATTATGAAGATTATAGTTTAAAGCGCAACTAGCCTCCCTTAGCTTCTACCCAGATGTAAGATTTCTTCAGTTTGCTGGAGTTTTTCGAAAAGAAGTGGTAATTTGAACCCCAAATTCTTCCTAAATAATCACTGAATTGAAGACTTCACCTATTAAAGTCTGACTGTCAGCCATTCAGTAATCAAAAGCACAACTTTTAAAATTATTGAAAATCACACCAATTCAATATCCTCTTGAGGAAGTAACGCTTGAAAAATAAAGTAAAACTGAAAGGAAGAAGCTCATAAAAAAGTAAAATGATACGCATGAGAATGAATGTGAAGAACGGTTATGCCGTGTCATGGAATACACGTGTGAATCATGAGAATCCGGCATTAAATCATGTTCCTCACACTCGTGTCTTAACCCCCCACGCAAAATTACATTTTTGATAACATTTTATTGATTATCACTTTCTTATTTTTGGAAGTTATATTTACACGATTGGGCTTGTGGATTTGAGGATTTATGGATTGATGTAAGAAGTAAATTGTATTTGTACAATATAACATACCGGGGAAATAAGAATGTGCATTTAATAAATTATTTACATCAAAACATTAATACAAAATCACTGGTTATGAAAGATTAGAAAAGTTGATGGTGTTGGGATTGTAATGTATATCCCATCTCCAATATAACAAATTGCTTTCTGATAAATATCAAATAAGAGGTTTTTGTAAATTATATGTTGAACATGACCTGAAATGTGGTTCTTACTTTTATTGTTGTTGCTTGAAGGACTTTTTTGTTGGAAGTTGAAAGTGAAATGGGCTGACAGATGGGTTTGTGAAGCTTTGATTTGAGTTTTTTGAGGAAGATTGGTGAACATGATGAGCTAGAGAAGCGCAGTGATGGCTGATTGATCTGAATAATCAAGAAAGCTATAGACAATCGTCACTAATTTGATTCTAGGGAATGTCGAGTAGGTTTTCGGCATTTTTTCACTGTTCTGACAATACAATTTGGATTTTGTAAGTCCCGACAAACTGATTGTGTCCAGGGACATTGCAAGTCATGCAATTGTTCAATAAACCTAACCGTAAGTCCCCAAGATTTATATTTTGATCTAAAATTTCCTTTTACATCGGCCGTAGCCTCTTGATGTGAATAGCACATCTAAAATCTACTAAAATGCACCTCTGTCAAAAACTATCTACTATTCTCCCTTCATACTGATAGTAATAACCACGAATCACATTAAAGTCCTCATCCAACCCACATCAAATTCTATAAGTTTCAGTTTCATTAAAAAATTTTATTTACATTCCCATAAATCTGTCTCACAAGAATCCAAACAGCAATTATGCTGATGAAACAGAACCACCAGTAATTTCATACTGCTTGTGCAAAAAATCAATTAATTTTTTTTTAATGGCAAACTCGCAGTTTCCATTTAAAGAAATGCAATTAAGTGCTTTTATGCGACAAAAAGGAAAGCAAAACAATAAAAAAAAAAGACTGCAAAGAAAATGCAATAAGGAAGGAAATAAGACCTAAGTTTATGGACTTTTATGTGATCAGCAATAAGTATAATGGATAGGAACAAGCATAAACATTATTGCAAGTGAGTTTTAAGTGAGCAACTTAAGTGGCACGAGTAAATGCTTTATAGTTTTTAATGTTTACATTTTTTTGGATCGAATTTCACTTAACTTTGCGTGTCTTGGCACGGATGTGCTTTAAAAAATTATAAGAATGCATAAGGCCAGTATGTGTAATTCATGACATTTAATTAGGAGGGGATAGCAATTGGGTATTGAGCACAAATTACTAATGTAAGATTGAATATTCTGAGTTCGAATCCTTTCAGATTTCGCCTTAAAACACAAAATGCCATTCATATAACCATAAAATCTGCAACGCTCGCGTTGCAGAAAACAAATCAATAAGGACAACTCTAGGTACGGAGTAACTATGTCAATATAAGTTCCCATAACCTAAAATTCATCTGCTTCCATTAAAATCCCTTTTATATAACACATTTGATATCCGAGAATCAAAATCAAATTACTATCATTTCTATCCTTATTGACAATTCCAATATTAGATACACAAGACTGTCAGCACAAAAGAATTGAGAAGTTGAGGGACAAAAATCATGTTATAAAATGATTATTATTCATCATAGAAATTCATGTCATGAGGAAGTCACTCTGTTCATTGTGAAAAGTGAATAGATTGAGGAAGCGGGAATCGAGAGCTTCTGTTTACTGCAATGTTTGATGGAATTGCATTTTGGGTTTATTTTGTCAGATTTGGTGGGATTTTTATGAATTTTTTAGTATTCCTCAGTCAGATCCACTCTTGTTACTTGATCCTTCTTTTGTGAGTTGCTTTTCTAGGACGTGAAAGTCCTATTCCTCAATGTGAAGTGTCCAAGTTTAGATCCAACATCTTTGACACTGTTACAAGCTTTCCCGACCATTTTCTACTCTGATTGCTTGAAAGAATCTAAATGCAGCATCAAAATGCTTCTCCTTAATGGATTTTCTTGTAAGCTTACAAATAAAATAGCGAACAGCGAAGATTCTATCATGTACAATCTCAAAAAAACTAGAAATAAAATTTTATATGGATCCCATAAGGCAGTCAGAATAATTATGAATAACGACATACAAAGAAGAAATTACAATGGAAATACAGAAAAATGTCTTCGACTGTATGTAAACAAAAATGACATCCGGGAGCTTTCATACTTATCATCATCATCAACATAATCATTGTCATATCTTTACAAGACATAATTTCTATCATAATAACATCGATTGACCAAACATTTAGGCATATTTTCATCCATTTCATCATCAATTTATGGACATGAAGGTCGAGCAAGTGGAAATGGAGATAAGGAGAATTTCCTTATAATTTTGATGACGCATTTATGGCTGTTCATAAATATTAATAGGGCATAAATTATATGAAAGATTGGCATTGGTTTCTTAAGGTCAAGTCAGGGTTGTTTAGCAGTTTCTGCGGAAATTCTAATGGATTTTTGGCTGTCTTAGTTGCAACTCAATTTTTACTAATGTCATTAAGATTGTCAAGAAGAAACCAAGCTTGATTTGAGGAGCTTGAAGAGCAATATTGAGAATTTGTCACAGCTCTGGAACCATTCCTAGCAAATGTACATTTCAGTCAAGCATGTAAGCAAAATCTCATTAATTAGTCAATCAACTGATATAAAGTCCCATGGGATCTTCCAAATAAATTCAACTTTTACTCAAATATTTCAACTCAACCTAAGTTCATTAATTCCAACATTAAGACTGACAGCCAGACGTTCATGCAGACTATGAAACAAAAGTCAAATATGAAGATAACTCAAACAGAAAGTTGACAGTAATGACAAATAATCTACAGACAAAAACGATTCTCGTGACCAAGTTGAATGAAATGAGAGATTGAATGGACATGACTGAATGCTATGGAAACAGAACAAAGCCTATAAGAGATAATCGAGAGGAGCAAAAAGTATAGGGATTTGGTTTCAATCGTCCAGGAATATAAATAATTTTGTTATTCTCATTCTTTTCATATTCATACTAATTGAATATCCATCATCCGTCATATTGAAATTCTATGGCTGACTACACAGTGTATAAATCATTCCATGCAGTTCTCTCAACAGTAATTTACTCGACAATTTACTCAGCTTATATTTTTATTTTTATGATGCTCAAAAATCAACAGCGCATGATCATTCTCAGCGAAAAGCACGAAGTTCTTGCAGCAATGAAAAGAAAAATATTTTTATGTTTTTCTTCTCAGCTGTACATAATCATTTCTCCATTTAAAGTTTCAGTCGAACGCCATCAGCTGTCTTGTTAAGAAGCTTCGGAAAATTCTCACGAGAAAAAAAAAGCCACTGTTAAAAAAATTCTTTTGAGGAAGGAATTTCCTTTCAGTACAGTTGTGTGCACTTGAAAGTGAGAAGCAGGGAAAGAAATAAGAGCGAAACGGAAATTGTTTTGTTAAATATTTCAGCAATCTAGACTTTTTGTGACTGTTGTTTATAAATGTGTAAAGTTTGCATCACATCATCAACATAATCATCATTTGTATAGCAATTCCTTATGGACAGCATAGCTAGTTCTTTGGAAATAAACACATAATTAGGTTGGAATTTATAATGAATTATTTTTGAGGGGGGTTTGGAGTCGTGTTGGATGTAATATTGAGATATTTGATGGAATTTTAATTAATAGTAAAGTTAGAATCAGTTTTATTGATCTATTGTATTGAAATTCTTTGAAACCAATGAAGATTCAAAAGATTTTCAAGATCAAAGAACATAATTTTAACATTGCTAAATTAGGCATCAGGAATGGTGCAGAAAATGAAAGAAAGTCAAATCAGAAAATGATTCAACAAAAACAAAGTCAAAAGTCCAAAATTTAGCGCTTAAATCATTCAACTGAAACCAAAAGCAATAATCCAGTTTGACACTGTTCCCTAAAGAGTATAGCAAAAGACTCTTTTCCCTACTTGAATTAGTTCAGTTCAACAACAATGTTTTCATTCAGCTTTCTTTGAAAACAAATTCTCTTTAAGAGTCAAATTAAACTTCTTTGTAATAAATTGATACTTTTCGATGCTCTCAAAATACAAAAGACTTTCCAAAAACAATATGTGTTAATGTTCAAGAAAATCGATAGATTTAGTAACGAACAAGTAACGAATACATTCATTAAAGATTTAAAATCATTGATAAACATTCAAGAGATTTAATGGAATTTGTAAAAGGATTTAATGTTGATGGTTTAAAGTTTTGATGGAATATAGACAATATGAGTTAAGAATGATTCTTTTCAAAAAGTCTTTGACATTTTTGTTATCTTTGCTGTTGATATTTGGAATCCTTGGTATTCCTTGATGTTCTGAATGATTGATTTGTTGAATAGTTGTCTAAAATCAAAAAAATAACAAGATTTTTCAATTTTATAATTCATTTATAATAACCTCAAATCTTTAAAAATTAAGCTTAAAAAAACTTTTTTAAACTTGTTTATCTCAACTTACTTCGAAATAAGGCTTCAAAAGCAATAAACAACCTATTTGTTTACAAATTACTTCAATCGATCTGTAAACAATGCCTTAATAAGAAAACATAATTCACGTGTAAGAAATTACTTCCACAATTAAAACAGCAAAATACCTTGCAACTATGTTGAAAGTTTCATGCTGAACATATTGTTTTTTTTTCTCCTCCATTATTTAAAACTATGGGTGGCATTCAGTACACCATAAAATATGTTGCTATAAAAAAAGCACAAAATACCACTGAATTTATGTGAATAAAATTTCTCTTGGTTTGTTTTGAGTTTGAATCGTAAATAAGAAAGCCTTTTGAGGAAAATAGTTTGTGAAACAAATTGAAATATTTTCAGAAATTCTTATTTGGTTTCTTTTGTGATTTTGAAAAGAATTTTGTTGGTACAATTTTTTTAAAAGTTTGATTTAAATAAGTAAAAGGTCCTGAAATCAACACGGATGAATTACATTCTGGGAAGCTTTTGAATAAATTTATTGTAAATTCTGATTTTATAAACATTTTAGTCTTAAAGAAGAGATCAGGAGCTGGTTGCAAGAAAAGAATATTAAGTATAAACATAATTAAACTCAAGTAAGGGAAGAGTGCCCAAAGTTAACTGTTGGCAATTATAAAAAATTTCAATTTTGGAAACCTTATCTCAGAATATCTAAGATATCAATTGAATAGAATAAAAAGACTCACCAAGCTACTAAGCCTAAATTATTCTTTATTTCGTATCTTCAACAATCGTTCCTTCTTAGCCTCTATGCCTTTAAATGCTCAACAGCATGGAACTTTTATGTTCAAAACCTAATTTTTATATAAGTTTTTTAATTATGTGTCTAATCTTTAGTATCTTACTCTTAGCTTACTCCAATGTTAGCAAAGAGAACAGAGTCGGTTACAAACAAAAAAATTTCAAAATTTTCACGCTGTATTTATTTAAAATTTCAAAATAAGAAAGTCCGTTATTCTTTAATTTATTTTCAAACTAGCTGTTTTTTAAAGCACAAACATTTAAGGAATGCAATTTCATCACATTGATTATCTTAATCATAAAAACTAGTAGGAATGTTCACTAAAATTACAAATTACTCGAAAAATAATAATTCACAACGAATTTTTTTAAAAATAAGAACTTCGAAGATTCGATTTTCGACAAATAAGAACCTTAAAAATTCGAAGTTCGAATAATAAGAACTCAAAAATTTCTGTTTGCTAGCATTGGAGCTTACTCTTTCCTGACTTTTTAATTGATTCTTAGCACTATCCTTGGCATTAATCTCATAACTTTATAAAATTATTTCACTATTGCTTCTTGCTCTTGCTGATCCTTTATTTCAACACATGTTCTCTATCTTTCAAATTTAAATTTTAACCGTTATAAAATGTCCTCTTGACTTCAAATCTTAACTATTCGTTATCAAATATCCCTCTTTATATGTAAAATGTTTATTGCAATTGCAATTAATTAACTTTCTCATAATCTAGCAATGAAAATTTTTATCATTAACCTAGAAACCGGTTTAGCTATGCCCATGAGTGCCCATAAGCGCAAGAGTTGAGTTGTTTCTTTGATGAGCAATGATTTTTGAGTTCAAGATCAATCTTATTGTTAGTATTCTCTAGTTTAAGATCAATCTTACTCTTACTTTCAACAAAAATCTATTCATTTCATTTTTAATCAACAAAGATCTGAGATTGTTAACTTCTCAAACTTTCAGCAAAGATCAAGCTTTACTTTTAGTTGAATGATACAGAACAGATCAAAACTAATGAGAACTTAATTTATCACCTTTAAAGATTCTTCTTTTTCTTCCACACTCTTAAACAAAAGACTCTAAACCCCCATTTGACCAATTTAACGAATTTGAATTTCCAACCTAAAAGTTCATTCATGTCTGTCGACTAGAGAATTGTAGCATAACACCATAATCACTCATCATCAAAGGAATGACACAAAAATAAAGAGTCGAAAAAACACAGAAGAATAAAAAAAAATTTAAAGACAATATTGACAAAGGAAAAGTTCAACTACGCACGCTAAGTATTTAAATATCATCATCGTAAATGCAGTAAATAATAAAAGAAAAAAATTATAACAATAGCAATAATAATTGTAACAAAATAGAGGAAAAATTTTCGTTGTATGAATGAAAAATTTATGAATTGAAAGTCTTACAGTAAATTAAGTAATTGTCTTACATACAAAAAATTAAAATAGTGAAGCAAAAGAATTTAATTAAGCAGTGTAAATAAAAGGAGGCAAAAGCAAATATACGAGAAAAAAAAGTTCATAGTGGTAAAGTGAAAAATTAATTATTCATTCAACATAACTTTATTATCAAATTATGCTTACTATTACATAGCAAGACGGAGGAAATTTCACTTCATTAACGTACGGATTAACAAGAAAATTAGTTTAAAAATAAAATAGGCAAGGAAGAACGAAGAAATCGTAAGTTAAATGCCTTTTGGTTTGTTTATTTAAAAATTTCTCATTAAAAGCTTCCGTTTTCTACAATTTTTATCTGTCTATCCATCAGGGATTTTTAAGATAGTTGAGGATTATTTTTGGATATTTCAATAAATTTTATTTGTTCACATTTTAATTGATATTCGAAAGGGAATTCATATTTGAGTTGTTTAGAGTCGTTTAAATGATTTACTAGATTTATTAAATATTTCCCAAGAAACTAGAGTGTTTGATCCAACTTAGGCTTGTTCATGAAACTGTTTTAAAGAGAATCATATGATTCCCCGATCGGTACACATTGAAATTCATTGAAAGTTGCTTCCAAGTTGCTGCTGCTTGGTTCTAATTATCCAGCAACCCGGTTAACGTTTGGCAAAAATTTTAATTTGTCCGATCTGGTTCTA